AAACCGCACACGTCCAAAGAAACGGTATTTCTTGAAGTTCTCGATCGCACATGCGTTGAATAATATGTAGTCTACGGATGAGCTCTTACCAATACGGTTCAGGTTCTATAGCAGTAAAAGCGATCGCTAAAACCATCGATCTCAAGTTTCCGAGTGCAATCGCTCGTGCAAACTTTCGAGGTGGGAATTTTCCAACCGACAAAGGGGTGGGAGGTGGGGGTGTCGAATCCGCGGAAAACCGAAAAGAAAAACAACACGAAACGTAATTCGCAAAACGATCACAGGTTTTAGTAAACACAACGATATTGTTGGCGTACACGTTGTAAAACGTCGACGGACGGTAGTAATACAACTGTTAAACGTAAGTTTTGTGCGTAACGTCGTTATGCGTGCAAAAGTGTGCAACGGGTAAATCAATGCTGTTATTATAGTGATGTGCAATGGCGTACCCGTGAAACATTTTTAGGGGGAGGGCATAAATTAATTGCATAATTTTTTATGGTTATAATATAATCTGAAACTTTATTATAAATTATTACTAAATACTTAAAACTCATGTTGATCACTTGATATCAATGATAACCACATTATAAAATAGTGAATATATGTGACTATCACTTCTAATCACAAATAGGTCGAATATTGATATTTTATATTACATTGATAAGTGATATCAAAAACTTTTGATATCAAACACGATTAAAATCAGTGAAAATTAAAAATATTTATAATTTACATTATTTAAGCTGAACAATTAATTTGCATTATAGCATCAAAAAATTTCTCAGGGGGGCAAATGCCCCTGTTGCCCCCCCCACAGGTACGCCGTTGGTGATGTGTAGATGCACACGGCCGTTCGCGATGAGCTATAGAAATAAAAATACCGATCGGCCGTGCACCACACCGAGTCGTCGTCCGTCTGGATCAAATCCGTAATCGTTTCATCGGTACACGCACGCGCACGGATCGATGTATGGTGAACGTGTGTAATAATAAAAAAATGCCGTCCTAGGATCGATGAAAAAAATAAAAAATAAACTTTACATCATATCGCAGACAATTTTTATACACATGAATAAAACGGTCGTAAATTATATTTTTATAGACGTGTACGCGCGCGTACGCGCAGCACATACGAATACATATGTGTACGCATCACACACACAAACGCGTCGTATTACACGCGTACGTATGATACGTAGGAAAATAATAATTTTGAAACGAGAAAATATACGAACTTATTACGCGCGTGTGTGTGTTTAGTGTTTTAAGTACGACCAGATAACGCGAGGTTCAAAACGAGAACGTTTAATATCGGTACCTATACAGCCGATCAAGCGTGTGTGTGCGCGTGGAGAGAGATCCGAACTATTTTTTCCCATTTAAAAAGCGAAACGTATAATTATCCCCCCGCCGCCGCCTGCGTTCATCGTGCATACGATATATAATGTAGACACGTGTACATGTACATGTTTGTATGTGTGTAATAAAAATCCAAACGAACTGTACAGTTGAACAGCGGTGGTAGTGGTGGTGGGTCAGTAGAGGACTACGACGACCAAGAAGACGTTGTTATATTGATTGATTAGAAATGCACGACGAGACTTTTAATTTATATTTCTCGTTGCACCCCGGGCAGAGGTATATCGAGTAAGATGGTCGATGTTAAGAGAACGTGTTCGTAGGCGCGCGTCGATTGTTTCGAAAAAAAGGGAAAAAAATCCCGATTACGATTTGACATCGGACCCCCGGGAGTGATGTGTTAGTCAAGCGTAGGATTGCTAACCGGTCCTGCATTGGGCAGGAGGACTGTCTTGCGTTTTTTAATTTTTCCTACGTCCAACAATGCTAGAAACTATTTGCAGGACAATCCTACATCTTACAAAAAAAAAAAAAAAATACCTGGTTATATTCCGTCACTATTATTCTTTTAATTTTATCAATTTATTATTTAATCAAGGTGGTTAACATCCAGCGTTTTAATTAATAAGCTAATTTAACAAAAGTGATATAAATAAAATGTATCAGATGTTTTTCTTAGTAATATCGTTATAATATTATGTACTTACTGTTAGTTGCGGTATTGCTTAAGAAACTATACGGTGCCGTAGTCATCGGGGGAATGGGCCCCCACCGCAGGCCGTATTGTTTATATACATATAACCAGTATAAATAACCGTAGTGGTGGTATTTTTATTTTTTACTTCTTGCCCCTCCCCCCATTACCACCTTCAAAAATTTGGTATCGCCGCTGAAACGTGGTACGTATCGGATATGGAAAAAATTGTCCTATATTAAACAACTTGAAAGTTAGCAACCCTAGTTCTATGTGTAATATTACAAGTGCGTAATAACGTCGTTATGTATCGCCGAATATTTTTGATGCCGGTCCCGTCCAATAAGTGTGAATACCGTCCGCTCACACCGCCCACGTAGACGCATTACGATGGGAATAACGTCCGAGAAGGACACCCGAAGAATCGGTAAATTTTTTTATTCCATCTCCCTACCTTCCAGGGCGATAATATCGTATGCTAAACACTTGCTCGCAAATAGATTAACCGGTACACATTCGGTCGGGCTGTATGTGACATAGGTGTGTGGTATAAGTCTCGACGGAAAAAGTGCGGTGGGAGCGATCGGCGTCGTCTGTTCAAAAAATAAACAACGAGTTATTGGCCCCAGCAGGTCTCTGCCTACCTTATGTTCTATAGGTACGCGGTCGACCGACATAATAATAATAATAATAATTTGGATAAAGGTAATAATAAAAATAATAATAATAACGATAACAAAAATAATAAAAAAAATGAAACACATATAAACGTGCGTATAAATACGATATTATGTACGTACGGGCGTGTGTGCGGTGTGTTCCGAGCCTCCGGATACGATTATCCATCAATAATTATTATTATTTGGAGAATGGAAAATAATAAAGAAAATAGAAGAAAATAAATTACCGTACGTAATACGTCCAATAGTGTATCGGTTTTATTATAATTTTATATTTTTTTATTAATACCTAATAATATATTAATACACAAACACACGTAATGGCACCAACCGTTGTCGTTCTCCACCGCTCGATGTACTCCACACGGTGTACGATTATGTTTTGTAGTATTTACGCGTACTTCGACGGTCGTTTCCGATAAAATCCGACTGGTATGCGTCGCGCATTTCGTACACATGTTTACGATGCGTTATTGTCGTTGGACCCGACCGCATACCATGTATACGTTTAATTTCTATTGTTTTTCGTACTTACCGCGGAGGCGAACGAGGAACGACACACGCGGAGAAGAACAGAGTGAGGGCGAAGGAGAGAACGCGCGAACAAAAGGAGAAAGGATATTTAGAACACAGCGACTCAGCGCGATAGGACGTGCGGCGGGGGTGAAATAAATCAGAACACAATTCGTTTTTCCGTATATACGTATCGTGCACATTTAATGAATTTTGGCGAACAAGTTTCATTAAAAATTACATAAATATATTCGCTTAAACGTAGAAATTATTGTTAATTAATGTTTTATTTTATTATAATTATTATTATTTTTTTAATTTTTATTTGTTTTTATTAATGTACACACACACATTGGGCGACATCGATTGGTACATAGCCTAGTCGATGACATATATATATATATATATATATGTAGAACTATAATCGTATATAATATTTATAATAATAATAATTTACAGAAAAAATAAATAAATAAAAGAAATACATTATATAATATTCGTATTTTATACTGCATTATTATTATTAGAATACGTACGAGTATACTGGCTAATCGTATTAATGTAGTATAATGTTTTATTTAAATATTATTTTTTTAAATTTTTTTTTATTTTTCTTCTTTGGTTTTATCTACAACCGTATTTATTACACGTAATAATAATATGATAATAATAATAATAATAATAATAATAATAATAATAATAATAATAAT